TATTTAAAATCCAAAATTTACTTTCTCTTTTCCCTTGCCCACAAATAAATACAATGATATTTATTACTGCCTGGGAAAGATGGGTAAAATGAGAGAGAATTGCCACAACTAATATATGTGAAAAAAGCCATAAATGTGACACAAGAACTCTTAGCTTTTCTGTTTATGTTTCATTCATCACTTCCAGAACAAGTAGCCGACTGTTACGCGGCTCGTGAATACGGGAATCTAAAAAGTATGATACTGGAGAAGCAGGAAAATCTGGTATTGTTAGAATCAAATTATGACGAAAGAAACAATACGATGAAAAAGGTGCTGGAACCGATGGAAGGTGTTATTAGGGATATTTTTCTCAGTTCTGTTGGTTCTGGGCCGGTAGTAGTAAGCACGAACGAAAAACAGTTTGATAATGTTCAACACTGATAGCAACTGATCCCACGGCTATTTTCGTCTGACAGCATGCAGCTAAATATTCGGATTATTACAGTTAAAGAAATTCCTTTCCAGACATTTTGGTGCACTTGATTTAAAAGCATAAAACCTGATTTAGAAGCAAGCGTATATATATACATATACATATATATATATATATAATGTATATATATGTATATATATGTACGTATATAAATACACATGTATATATACATATATATATTTACATATGTATATGGCACTCCCATCTTTCTGGAGTTATGTTTTGCTTTTCTCATTAATCATTATTGATCTGTGGCAGAATCTTGAATCGACAAGTTTCAGCTGTGCTACTGAGTTAGATGCATTTAGCTTAATGGATTGAAACGTCTTAATCTCAACTAAGTTAATTTTTATGCGTTTTGTGCTGTGTAACAGCAGCACAAAACGCATATTGTCATGGGGTTGTCTGTGTATGCGTTTGCGTATGTGTCCCACATTTTGTCCCGCACTTTCATTCAGGAACCATAAAGGCTAGGCGGCTGAAATTTTGGTACAGTGTTCCCCGCCAGCGGGTGATGCGGCAAATTTAAATTCAGCTCTCCGGTACCCGCGGGTAACACGTACAGCCCCTTAAAAGATTTTC